AAAGGAGACAAATTAGGGAAAGTTAGAAAATTTTTTATAGATATAATTTACAAGAATTGCAAGACTTTGTATGATTTTTATTTCTTACCTTCGTATAGTATGTTGTTATACTCGGGGCTGGCTGCACTATTTCTTAAATACCAAACTTTCCTAAGACAATTTTTGCCCCTTACCGAGAAAATGTTTGCAGATTCTCTGCATATTTCTTCCCTTTCTCCTTTTTTTTTCTCCGATTTCACTCTTTCCTTCTCTTGTAAACAAACACAAACACACACATTACATTAACACACACCACACGTGACATCTAATGTGCATGTATGTATTCTATAACTAATCTATATTCCGTACTATCTCGTGTGAAGGATACCTCATACTCTATGCTATTGTTCAATCTATCATCCTTACTGTCTTTACATGTCTCTAACGACGTAAACGATATTGTTAGCGAGCAAAAATATTTATAACTACTGCTCCTTTGCGAAGGGAGACGAAAGTTGCAGAAAGAAAAATATGAAAGCTTTAGAGCCGGAATGGACCAATGTCATAAAATTTAGTTTAAATATTACGTTGTTGTTGTTAAAGTATTGGTATTTTATTGGTACTAATACCTTATTAGCACTCTCCGGCACGTAATATACCACTAATAGGACTAACTAGTAGTAAACTGTGTAGTAGTGTTGATACTAATAATTGATACTTATGCTAGTAATTACTGATCATTTTAAAAAATTTCTTTCGTTTTGGTTACAAACACATCACTATCACTTTACTAGTAAGATACTAGTCTCTCTCTCTCTCTCTCTCTCTCTCTCTCTCTCTCTGTTAATAAACAAATAAATAATTTATCAATTTGTGTTACTGACATTTCTGCATTTTTGATGTTCCATTACAATTTTACTATCATTCTATTAATATGTAAAATTGGCAACGCACATATACCTTTTGTTCACAAAGCAAATTCTCAGTCAATATTATTCTTATGTTATGTCTGTTATTTCTCTCTCTCTCTCTCTCTCTCTCTCTCTC